CTCATCACTTTTGTAAGTCTTGATGGCTGTGAAGGTTAAGTCCCCCTTCATCATTCTTCTTCAGGAATGTCTTCACTATCCTTAGCTCTTTATCTTCCATATGAATTTTAAGATGAGCCTGTCATATTCTTTGAAGAATCCTATAGGGATTTTGATTGGAATTTCAATGAGTTTATGTATTAGTTTGAGAAGAAAATTTTTTTTCTTTTCTTGGTACGTGCCCCTAGCGGGAACCGAACCCGGGACTCTCTGGTCCGCAGGCCGACATTCCAACTGCTGAGCCAAACCGGCCAGGGCGAAAATTTTATTTTTATTACTTTGCATCTTTTCATTCATGAACGTGGTATATCTCTGCTTTTATTTATATCTTATTTTATGTCTTTTAATAGAATTTTACATTTTTTTCATATATAGTGTGTTTCTCTTTTATTAAGTTTATTCATAAATATTTCTGGTATCTAGAAGGTCATGTTTTCCACAATTATATTGTCTGATTGATTAATGCAGTTGATATTTGCAAATTGATCTTGTGTCTTATAACTTTGAAGTTTGAACAGTTCCAGTGTACACATTATCTGTGTTGCCTGTAAACATTTTAGTATTGTCTATTACTGGTAAATAACAGTTTATTTCTTTTTCAATATTAATTTCCCTTTCTTCCCCTTTTTCTTAGTGCATTGGCTAGGACCTCTAGAACAAAATTAAATAGAAGTAGTGATGGAAGGCTTCCTTCTCTTATTCTTGACCTCACAGAAAATGCTTCTAACAATTCACCATCAATTGTGACGTTTGCTCTGTGTTGTAGGTGAATACACATAAAACTGAAGTGGAAGAAGAAACAATAAATATACAAAAATTCAATCTGCGACACAAATTGTAGATGTTAATATAGAATAATATCAGTACAAAATTCTCAGAAAGACTAGATATTTGGAAACAGCCAAGATATCTAGAGGAAAACAACTCACAAAGACCCCTAACTATAAAATACCAAGCTGATTAATTTGTTAGATTTAGAGGAAACACCAGTGAAGATCACAAAAAGAAATCATGGAGAAAATACTGAGAACAGTGTATGATTTATTTCAGAGCATTTTATAACTGCTTTGGATGTGTTTTTTGACCCTGGATTTATTATGGCTGGAGAAATTGAAAATAGCTACAGACAGCTTAGAAATTAGCTCTAATAAGAGAGAAATGGGATGGCATTTAAATCTCTATATTTGTGCTGGTAACCTTTTCCTGCCCTTTCACAAAGGCCTTGGCCACTTTGTAAAGGAATTAAGTGCTCACCACCTAGACTTTCCACCTTGGCTCATTTTTCTGCTCCTTACCTTATTTAGGTACTTACTGTTCTGTCTTTTGGTAATCTCTGACTTCTCAGTGTCATCTTCCTGGTCCCTTATTGAGGCCTGTCTCTCCCCACCTTAATTCCGCATTTCCTGAACTGTAGAAATTGGGGAGGGGAGCATGGTGGTGGTGGTGGGGAAAGTGTTTAATGGTCAAATAAATTTGGGAATTATGGTGTCAAGCAACAATTCAGTAGCTTATCTTACTGCAGGACTTCTAGAGCCTTCAGTATTCTTACATGTATTGTGAATCAAAGGGAAATAAAGCTTGCAGATGAGTTTGTGAACAAAAACCAACTGTCTTTGTGTGTTGGATGATGCTGTGACCTCTAACTACCCTTACTGTCCTATGTAAGCATACCAAAGCCTTCTGGTTGATGATTATCTGTGTCCCATACAATGTAGCCATACATATTTTTGTTAGTTACTACCAGGATGGCATAACAAACCAAGATAAATATAAATTGGTGATAGGACCGATTATAAACCATCATCTATCATAAGAACACTAGGAGGTACAGCCCCTGGCATACTGCATTCTTTGTCCTTTTGCTTTGTCAATCATCAGTACTTGAGTTATATTATAAAAAAAATGTACCATAACAGGGGTCTGGTAGTAAAGGATAATTCATGCAGAACTGCTGGGTCGTCTGTCTGCTCTGACCCTACATTCCTGTACATAAATTACCCTATAGTAAATTCTGTTATATTTTATGGAGTCGTCTGCATCATTTTTTAGTCTGAAAATACCTTCTAACTGTGGTGGCCGATACACCTTTGCCCCACTGTTGGCCATTACCCAATTAATTCATTATGGAAGCCTTTCCAAAGAACCTAATGACACATCATATAAACAAGTTCATTGATCTTTAAATAAAAACTTCTAAGTTTTTCAGTAAACTTTTCCTTAGTGAAAGACATGTTATATGCTATCTCACTAGTAGACTGTAAACCCTTTGCGGGCAATTTCTTCTGTTTCCTTAAAATATTTCCTGATCTTGCCCTGGCTAGTTTGGCTCAGCGGTTAGAGTGTTGGCCTGGGGACCAAAGAGTCATGGGTTCGATTCCAGTCAAGGGTAGGTACCTCAGTTGCAGTTTGTCCCTGGCCCTGGTCGGGGTTGTGCGAGAGACAGCCAGTTGGTGTGTCTTTCTCATATTGATGTTTCTTTCTCTCCCCCTCTCTCCCTCCCACTCTACCTGAAGATAAATGGAAAAATATCCTCAGGTGAGGATTTAAAATTATATATATATATTACCTGATCTCATGTATATATTAAAACTCTGTGGTTCTCTTAGATCCTGGGATGGGCACACTGGGTACCACTCAAGAGTTGTATGGAAGATTCTTGCTAATGAATTAGGTTTCATGATCTTTTTACTACATCTCAATTCAACTACTTTTGCTGCTTTATTCAAGGCTCTGAGCTAGGCACTGCTGAGCTAAAAAGATGAATAAGATCTAGTTGCACCTCCCAGGAGCATATATAGAGGCGATAAGACAAGCACATTCACAAAACACAAATTAAATATTAAACAAGAGGTTCAAACCACCTTGGGGTTCAATGAAAAAATAATAGCAGTTGTGTCGCTGGGGGAAGGAGAAGGTGAGAAAACTCAGAAACTATCTCATGGAGGATGTATCATTTGGGATAAGCCTTACATTTAAAAAAATATAGACAAAATATTGGAAGAATAGCATTACAGGCAAAGGGCATAGCATATGCAAGGCACAAAGGCAGAAAGAGGGGCAAGTTCATGTGGCTGTGTGGCAGGAGCAATAAGGAGTGTACAGCTGGGCCAGTGTGGCTCCCTGGATTGAGGCCGTTCCAGGGACTGAGAGGTCCAGGTTCAATTTCCAGTCAGGGCACATGCCCGTGTTGGGGGCTTGATTCCCAGTAGGGGGCATGCAGGAGGCAGCCTATTGATGTATCTCTCTCACATCAATGTTTCTGTCTCTCTCTCCCTTCCTCTCTCTCTAAAAAATAAATAAAAACTTATTTAAAAAAAAAAAATAGGGAGTGTACAGTATGAGTTGTAGATTGGCAATTACCAGAGCATAGATAATAAAAATGCAAAGAATAGCTTGAATACCAGTGTGAGTTATGTTAATGCTGTCCATAGGGAGCCACTGAAGAATTTTTATTGGAAGGGTGATATGAGGACCACTTGCTCCTCTCCCATCATTTGTTGTCTCCAGAGTTCTAGGTCCTTTGCCTCTGTCCAGCACATCAAGATACGGCAACTTCAGCCAACGAATCAAACTTTTGGTCTCTTAACCTGCCTGTTAGGTACCTCATCTCGGAGAGCTGTCCGGAGTACAACAGAAATCCAGGACTATCCAATGCCAGAACTTTGAGGAGAGGGTGTTCAAGATGAAGAATACAGATAAGAGGTAATTGGTAGATTTAATGATAATACTTTGGGGAGTTATGGTTTCAGGGTATTAAAGGGAAACCAAACAGATAAGAAGAAGAGATGTGTGCAGATAGTACATTCTAAGCAATGAGCCAGAAGAATAGACCATAGCTAGTCAGGTTCAAGGCAGCCCAGGGCTGAAGTTGGTACTAGGGTGCAATGAAGGCTGGAACCCAAACAACTGGAGGTTAGTTTGAGGTCGCTCACCAGGCCTTAGAAGCACGATCCTCCTGGTGTAATGTTGAGAGGACTGGACCCTCCAGGCTGCAGAGATGGATGGGCCTGGAGAGGTTATGTGTGTTTATTGGTGTTAATATTTTCTCTAACGTAGACTTAGAGGTCACCCGGGTAATCGACTGGGGAGAGGGAAGTACCCTTGGCACGGAGACAGCTTGAAGGTCTGAGAAAGCTGGTGCCTGCTGGGGAATCAAAAAAGGGGGCAGAGCAAAGCTCTGGTGGTGTGCTGTGGTCAGGGCGGGCTCTAACCGGGCTCGGTCAGCCTGGCGCCGAGGACACCTAAGGACAGGCCCCGTTTAGCCCGGTTTCTTCGCACTGCGGGGCCTCCCGGTCTGGGCGCAGGGTGGAGCGCGGCAGTCCGCCGGGCGCTGCGGGAGCTGCGGGCGCCCTTCCCCTCGCAGGTGAGCCCGGCCAAGCAGGGACGCGGGGGAGGGGTGCCAGCCATGCCCGGCCTGCAGCTGCCCGCCGCCGCCTCCAGCCCGCCGCCCCCGCGGCACCGCCATCCGCAGCCTCAGTGAGGAGGAAGCAGGGGCTGCGGCGGCAGAGGAGGCACCGCCCTCTTGGCCGGCTTCCCGACCTGGCGGCCTCCGCAGGACCCATGGCGGATTCCGCGCCCGCGCTGGCCCTGCGGGAAGGCGGCCTCCGTGCGCCCCGGCCATCGGCCTCCTCGCCGCCGCCGCGCTCGCGCTCGGGCTCCGAGCCGGAGGAGGCCGAGCTGTCGCTGAGCCTGGCCCGCACCAAGACCCGCTCCTACGGCAGCACCGCCAGCGTGCGGGCGCCGCTGGGCGCCGGCGTCATTGAGCGCCATGTGGAGCACCGGGTCCGCGCGGGCGACACGCTGCAGGGCATCGCGCTCAAGTACGGAGTCACGGTGAGCAGGGCAGGCCGCCCGCGCGGCGGAGGGGTGCGGGCGGGGGGGCGGGGGGGAGCCGCTCGGGGCGGGGCGTGCGAGCACTGGGGGTCGAGGAGGCAGCCACCTGCCCCCGGTCCCAGGCCCAGCCGGTAGCTCTGGCTCCGTGCGCTCTGCGGGGACAGCGATGATGGCCAAAGCTGGTCTGGTAGCCAGAGGGGCGGGCCGCCAAGGCTCCCTCCCCAGGTAGGTGCATCGAGTTCCCGGTGCCCTGCCCAGACTCGGACCAGATCTGTCTCGTGAGGAACACCGAAGAAGACCGGGGCTTTGGCAGCACCGGGAACCACGTCCACCCGGTTTTCAGTCCCCGTCATACCACCACGTATATATTTACTCAAAGCCGAGCTGACAAGTGGACGTGCGCAGAGAATTTTGTTTTCTGTGCAAGCAAGCACTGTAATGAGTCAGGAATGGTAGTTTTTCCCGCAGGATGTTCTGGTTCTATAGATTATGCTTCTTTATTTAGAAGTGAAATTACACCCCTGGGCTCACTGGCAACTGTGAATGTGACACCTGTCGCTAAGCAGCAGCCAAGAACTGTGGTCTAGGTGAGCTGGAGAGCTGCGTTTATTATAAATTTATAAGTGTGTGTGTCTTGGGCATATTGCATTACACCTCTGGGAAGAACATGGAAACCTGAGGGAACATATTGTTTCATTAAAATTACTTATAATTAACTCTGAGCTATGTGATGGCCTTTGTGCATTTGAGTTCTGTATCAGTTTTCAATGTTCTTTCCTGAATCACCTTAGACAGGGATGGGAAGAAAGGTGATCTTATCTATATCTTTCTCTTAAAATGAAACTCTTTCTGGCCCTTCACGGAATGACAGAGACTGAGTAATCTATTTTGCACATTCAGGCTGGTATATGTTTACCTAACAGGCCTTTCTATCATTTAAACATTTTGCTGTGCAGACGTGTACTGACATCATGCCATGGATAATCCCATTCTGCCCTCTTGGGAGTTTCTAAATTTGAGCTTAGAACTTATATGCATTAATGGGGCCTGATTTTGGTCAAAGCCAGAGGAAAGCAGAGTTGGCAAATAACAGTTAGCTACCTTCTGCTGAATGCCTGCTATGTGCCAGGCATTGCATTTGTCCTGCTCCATCTTGTTCTTAATTCAATTTGATTTTCCAAATAAGCCTTGAGATAGGTGTAATCTCTTTACAGATAAGAAGATGCATGGGAGGTAAGGATATTTTCCAAGTATGCTTATCCATTGAGACTGGCTTAAATCTGCACAGTGGTAAAGCACTGGCTTTTCTCTAGATGTTACTTCAGATTTCCACCCATATTTTTATACTCCTGATAAGAGCTCTCTTAACGTCTTGGTTACTAAAGAAGGAACGCCTTTCTGTCTGTTCTTTGTGGGTCTTACCTACTAGGCCAGGGTGACTGTACCTAGGAACTCATAATATCTAGACAAGTGGTATTTCCCTGGTCACTACCCACATCAGTCTCTCTGCAACCCACTGCCCTCCATGGTTTCAGTTGACTTGCTTAGAACTTCTAAATATCTGCTCACCGCAGGTCCCCACCTTAGATCAAATGTTTTCTAACCTGTTTTTTACTAGTATAGATCCTGTTTCTTATAACCTTATCACTCCTTTCTGTTAAAGTATAAATACGATTTTTTTATTAGTTTTATAAAGATGATTTTAAGATGTTAAACTCAAGTATAATGAGTTGGGAACTATAATCTATAGCCACAAATAGTCTGTTACAGGGTTTCTCAGCTGCAGCTCTGTTGATATTATGGCCTGGATAATTCTTTGGGGGTGGGACGGCTATCCTGTGTATGGTAGCATCTTTAGCAGCATCTCTGGCCTCTGCCTATCGATGCCGGTAGCACCCCCACTCAGACATTGCCAACTGTTCCCTGGGAAGAAACTCACTCTTGGTTGAGAACCATTGGTTTATTACATATATACCATTTACTTTGGGTCCTGAACTATACAGTTGATTAAATTTTTAGAGACTCTTCCACGGATTATATAGAACCAGTGAACGTGATAATACTGTAACAGTGAAGTAATGTTCTTGCTTTAATTAATATCTGAAGACACTAACTGGATTTACTCATTATAAATTGAGATTTTAGGTGGAAGCTAAAAAGGCAGAAAGGTTTTCTTCTTTTCCTGACTGAGCAGAAAGAATTTGAGTAAGTTTCTAATATTGACTGCCAAGATCATCATTATATTTAAAGTATTGGTTAAAGGAGTAGGTGATGAGATGTTGGAGATTTATTTATTTATTTGTTTATTTATTTCACCCTCACCCGAGGATATTTTTCTGTTTCTCTTCAGACAGTGTAGGAGGGAGGGAGAGAGATAGAGAGACAGGGAGAAAACCGCAGCCGAACTATGTGACCTTGACTGGAATTGAACTTGTGATTCATTGGTCCGTAGGCCAACACTCTAACCACTGAGCTAAACCAGCCAGGGCAAGAGACACTGGAGATTTAGAGACCCAAGGCAGTGCACCTGGAAATTAAGAGTGAGTCCAGGCACACTTTGACCTGAACATCTCATGTCTGGCAAGAGCAGAGCACAGCTCTGCAGTCTTACTTAGCGGAGCAGGAACTCTGAGGGAAGCCTGTCTGCCGATGACAGCTCCCCAGTGACCCAGATGGGGGTCCAACCAGGTCCTCAGCCCTTCGGTGGTGGGGACTGGTAAAGGCCAGAAGTATTTTAGTTATAAGGAGGTTCCCAGAACAGATGCGCTGACAAGAAGTGAAGATGGAGACCTGGATGCAGTCCTGGGTTCCTAGGGGAACAACGTGGAAACTAGTTATCTGCAGTGGGGCTCAGTGGCTAGCAGCAATGCTGGGGAAATAGATGTGTCCCTCAGACTCACCTGGATAGGAGAATGCCTGGGGACAGAGTAAAAAGAAAGGATTCTAGCTGACCTTGAACTTACTGGATTAGAATATCCAGAAAAGGGACCAGGAATCTTCATGTTTTTGATGCATGGCCTCTTTGCTTGGTTCTCAAAGCACTGCCCCTTCTCGGGGCCTTTGCACTTGCTTCCATCTGTGTGGAACACTCTTTTTCTGATAGCGACATGCAGGGCCCCATGCATGGGTGTGTGACCTGTGCAGTCACACAGAACCCCGTGCTTCCAGGAGCCCTGCACTCGGTTTAATGCTCTGCTGTTGCCGTCTTGAAGTTTTTAGTAATTTATGAACAAGCGCCTCACATTTTCACTTTTCACTGGGCCCTACAAGTCATGTAGCTGATCTTGGCTGTGCGACTTCCTCCCTCACTGCCTTCGAGTCTTTGCTTAAATATCTCCTTCATGAGACCTTCCTGACCACTTGATGTCACATTGCAGTCCTCCCCCCCTTCCCTGCCATGTGTTCCCAACAGTATTTATCATTCATCTAATTTTTCTTTTTTTCTTTTCTTTTTTTCCAGCTTCTTTCTGGTGATACATTAGTGAATAAATAAAAATCCATGCCCTCATGGACTTATATTTTAGTCAGTGAAGACAGTAAGTAAACAAAATATGTTATATGTCAGGTATTGATAATCAAAATGAAAAAAAATTAAATTAAGCAGGGACAGGAGATAGGGAGGGCTGGTGGAGGTGGCTGCAATTTAAAATAGTATGGCCATGGAAGACCTCACTGAGAGGGAGCCATGCGGATATCTGTGAAGAACATTCCAGGCAAAAGGCACAGCGAGTGGCGCAAAGGCCCTAAGGTGGGAACATCATTGACAAGTTCCAGGTATTGTATGGCTGGTGCTTAGACTACAACAGAGTGTATATAGACCGGATCACTTAGGGCCTTGAAGGCCATTGTAAAAACTTTGGCTTTTTCTCTGAATGAGTTGGAAGCTTTGGAGGAGTTGAGTAGAAGAGTGACATGATGTAATATGCATTCAAAGGATCACTCTGGCTGCTGCTTTGAGAATAGGCTGGCATGGGGTGGCAGGTGGGTGAGGGTAGTGGAGGTTGGGGGGAGGTGAGTGCCCAGGCAGGGAGACTAGATAGGAAGGATGCTTATAATAATGCAGGTGAGAGCATAGTAGCTTGGACCAAAGCACTAGAGAAGGAAATGGTGAAAATGGTTGGATTCTAGGTAATTTGTTGATATGCTATACATTTTCTGCTAGTTTACTGTTTTGTTTGAGTACCTCTGCCCTAGAGATGGGCCAAGGGATTCAGGAGGCTTTCCTATAGGAAACAAGAATGTGGATGTTCAAGAACCTGGCCAGGTCTGACACCTGATGGACCCCACTTCTGCCAGTGACTTAGAAAATATCTTAATGACTCTTTCCACCATCCCGTTTAAAGTCACTTATAGTTATTAATAACTGACATTCATTATTTTTAAGTTACTTTTATTGAGCCTGGTTTGTTTGAGGCCCTGAGCTAGATGCTAGGGCTACAAGATAATATATACTGTTCTCTTTCTGTGCACAGTTAGTGTATCAGCTACTGCTTCCAGCAGCCTATAGCTGTGTGAGAAGAGATGGGTCGTGTGATTTATTTCTGTATATTCTGTGTCTAGCCTGAGTCTGGCACGCGTTAGGCCCTCCACATATGGGTGGGTTTCATCCACAGGAAAGCCTGACTGGTATGAAGACACTAGGCCCTGGAATTCAGTAGACCCTTAAAGATGGGGCCCAGGGTACAGGTTGAGTGAGGGGGTGCAGCCTGCTTGACTTGAATTACAAAGTTTGATTTGAGGCCAGCTCTCTAACCTGCAGAAAGGAGACTACGGCTGCAGCTGGACTTGATGCTTCTTTCCTCCCATACCCCCAGTACTGGGCCTTTATATTGAATTAAATATAGATTTAGATTTGAATATCTTTACCAGAGTAAGAGGCATTTGAGAAAGTGGGTCTGGGGAACTGAATCTCTTTGGGCTGAGTTGTGAAACTATTAAATAAGGTTCAGACCTCAGACATGAACTTGCTTGGCTGGAATTCCCCTGGCTGTCTTACCTCCTCTGAGACATTAAGGCCCCTTGCCTAACCCAGCACACTGGATTAAGCTATGGCTTTTGCAGCAACCCTGCTCTTCTTGGGTGGATGCAAGCCTCTGGAGGAGAGTAACCAGCTTCAGGCAGCATCTGGGAACTCTTCGTTGGGAAATAGAAAATCGTTCAGAGAACAGAATAGAAACTGAAAGTGGGTAGGAAGCAGTGAGGTGGCCGATTATTTGCATAAACTTTCCCTTCATCTCTTTGCTTTCCCCTGGCAACTTGCCTGTCCTCAGCCTCTCCAGAGGCCACATTGCCCTCAGTCACTTCCTGTCTCATTTTATGACCAGGGTCTTCTCTTTCTCTTCTAAGGAGCTGCTAAGCCCAGTCACTTCTTAACACTTCCCCTAACAGAAGTCATCTTGCTGAGAAAAAGTGAACTGATTGGTCATTTTAGGGGGAACAAGTGTTGGGAGTCAGAAATGTAAGTGTATGTAAATCTTCGTGTTTGTAACTTGAGCCTCTGCTGCTGCTGGAAATTGTTGACCCTTGCTGGTCCAAGGGAAGAGAACCATACATAAATAGTGCCACTTGTAGTAAGAGGTATGGCAAAGTAGCCTTTAGTGCTTTGGGGTTTTAGTAGATTCTCATGTATTCTTTTTAAAAAAAATTTGTTGAGGAATAATTTACATAGCACAAAATCCACTCACCTTAAGTGTACAATTCAAGGACTTGTAGTAAATTTACAGAGTTGTGCAACCATCACCAGAATCTAATTTTAAAACAGTTGCATCACCCTGAAAAGATCCTGTTCCCTTCTCCAACCCCAGGCAATCACAAATCTACCTACTGACCTATAGACTTGCCTTTTCTGAACATTTCATATACATGGAATGTCATATGTTCTTCTGAGATAGTGTGGAGAAGAAAAACATCTTTTTCCCCATTAGCACATGGCAGTGAAGGAGTCTGGTTGCCACCCGAAACCTAGAACTTAACAGGGAACAGTGGGGTGGGGAATCTAGCACTTACTAGAAAATGATCTTGAGAGAATCTTATAATATGAGTCTGTTTCCTTTTCTGTAAAATGATAATCAAATGAGAGTTGTGTATATATGAAAATATTCTTCAAGCCAACAGTACTATGTAAATATTACTTTTTAAGTATCCTAAAATATCTTTGGAAGATGTGTCTTTTTTAAGGAATAGGGAGTGTTAACCTATAAATAAAAGGCCTTTCAAAATGAGAGACAAATGCATTTATTGAGATCAATAAGAACTATTTGGGAAACATTAATTCAAGCAGAAGCCTAACTAATTTTCTGATTAGGAGACAAAGGCAATGGGTATTTGTGAGAATGGGAAGGGAGACAATTACATCAATAGACTGAAATCATTTTTATGGGTATAGATAACATAACATAGTGATGTTCATTCTAAACAAGTGTTTTAAATTTTCAGTCCAGCAGTCATAATAACTGCTTTCTTGTTATCTTTGCAAACAGTGTTTTGGGAAACATGTTGCATTAGGCTCAATCTAAAGGTTATTTTGCCTTGTTTTGAACATTCCAAGGTGTGAGACATGAGACATGGACATGAGACATGCAAGGCAGTCCCTCTGGTATGGCAGCTCCTGCTCCATTTTTTTTTTTTTATCCTCACCAGAGGACACTTTTCCATTCTCTGTTCAGATAGAGTGGGAGAGAGAGAGAGAGAGAGAGAGAGAGAGAGAGAGAGAGAGAGAGAGAGAGAAACATCGACGTGAAAGGGACACATCGAGTGGCTGCAACCCACATGACCCATCCAGGGCCAACCGAAGTACATGCCCTTAGCGGGAACCGAACTCGGGTCTCTCCGGACCACAGGCTGATGCTCTAACCGCTGAGCCAAACCGGCAAGGACTCTAGCTCCATTTTAACGTGGCTCCATTTATAGAGTTGTTTATAAGAGGAAGAGCAAAATTGTTGAATTTTGCATTCACCGTGAAGCACGCGGCCTGCCGACAGGGGCCAGAGTTGCCTTTGGGGAGAATTCTTAGCCATGCTCAGCAGCTGCTGTCGAGCTGTCTTTTGTGAGGGAAGTTTTGTGATTGCTCCCATAGTAAATTCTCCTTTACAGATGCATTTACAGGGAAGTCATTTTAAATGAATTGTTTTTAAGTTGTTGATGGCATTGGTTCTAACTAATTTCATTATGGGTGACCTTGTGGCCACCCTGTTAGCTCTTACTTA